GTCCGGACTGACTCGGAACAGGACGCGAGAGGGTCCGGACTGACTCTCGGAACAGACGCGAGAGGGTTCGACTGACTCGACGGACGTGAGAGGGTTCGGACTGACTCGACGGACGATGAATCCAATATTCCTCTCCGTTACGTGAAAAATTTCCGGATCGATATAAATGCTAGAACCAGAACTGATATTGGGGGGGGAGGTAGTGGTGAGGGAGGGGAGGTTAGGGGTGGGGTGGGAGGGTGAGAGGGGGAGGTTAGGTGGGTGTGAGGGGGGTGGAGGGTAGTGGTGAGGGAGGCTTAGTGGGTGGGGGAGACGTTGTAGCCGACCCCTGCTAACGTATACAAACACAGCCTGATTATATATATATATATATATATATATATATATATATATATATATATATATATATATATATATATATATATATATATATATATACAGTATATACAGGTATATATTTCATCTGGTATAAACACATCACACTCAGACACACACACACACACACACACACACACACACACACACACACACACACACACACACACACACCAACTGTAAAATAAAATGAAAACATTGTAAAATCAGTGCTGCCAACTCTTCACGGCAGCCATAGGACCAAATATATTTTCATGAATGGTGAAAGTGGCGGTCAGTTTTAGTTCCGGGTTGGGAATACTGCTCTGGCAGGAGGGGGGGAAAGAGCTCTACGTTTAAAAAGTTTTAATATAACCTTAGCGATATATTAAATACTTATACATGTTTTAAGAATATATTTGTCTTTTGTGTTTATTATATATCCATTGAGTGAAGGTATGTTATTATTTTAAACATTAACAATACATTTCAATATATATTTTAAGTATATTATAATTCTAAAGATATATTATATGTACATTAATTAAATAATATTGCCAGGATATATCAGATATAATATAATCGTTTAAAATCAACAAGATAAATCAAATCTATGTTATTTATTCTAATTTATCAAGAAATATATTAAAAATGTAATTAATCATATAACCTTTACAGATATATTAAGCGAATCTATCAAGAACACTAATATTAATAACCGATTAATAAAAAGGTTTGATTGGTCATATGGTTGTGTCAGGTCATATGTGGTGTCAGGTCATATGTGGTGTCAGGTCATATGGTTGTGTCAGGTCATATGTGGTGCCAGACAGGTCATATGTGGTGTCAGGTCATTTAGTGAACTCCGGGTCTTGAAGCATCATTTAATAGTGTGAGGAAGTCAAATCCAATCGAGTGTGTACGGCGTAGAGAGAGAAATTGGAAGGAGAGGGTGGAAAAAGAAGAGAGAGGGAGAGAGAAGGGGGAAGGAGAGGAGAGAGAGAGGAAAACAGAGAGTAGAAAGGAAAAGGGGAAGGAAATTGGTAACAGAGAGGGAAGGAAAGAGAAAAGAGAGAAGTGAGGGAAGGTAGAAGAGGAGGAAGGGGAGAAGGGTGTCGAATGTATTGTGGCGAATGAGGGGGAATAGGGGAGAGACAGAAAGAGGGAGAGACAAAGAAGAGGGAGAAACGGAGGATGAACGGTGGATACGGGGAGAGGGGGAGAGAACCAGGGTGAGATGGAGAATGAGGGAGAGAGAGAGAGAGAGAGAAAGGGGAGAAAGAAATAGATACGGGGAGAGAGACAGACAAACGGAGAGAGAGAGAGAGGGGGAGAAGGAAAAATTAATAGGAGGAAAGGGAAAATGAAAGAGAGAGAGAGAGAAAAAGGAGATAAAGAGAACTGGGAGGGAGAAAAAGGGAAAGATGAGAGAAAGGGGAGAGAAAAGAAGACAGATAAAGGAGAGATAAAACTATTAAAAGAGAGAGGGGAGAGAGAAAGAGAGGGGAGAGAAAGAGAGATACACAGAGGGAGGGGATAGGTCTGATACACCCCTCTGTGACGTCGTGCCATTGTTTTGCAAATACTGTTTACACTTAGACATTGGCTCAGCGTATCAGGGTGACGGCGAGAGGGGGGACAAGGGGAGCATCCCACATTGTTTCGTTCTGGCCCACCAAACGTCATCAAAAACCCTTAGATTAACCAAAAGGAAGGGAACATTATCTATGTTTTTATTTCTTTTTGTACTAAATAATAAAGATAATAAGTATACAGTACTACGTCTACTACTATTACTATTACTACTACTACTACTACTACTACTACTACTACTACTACTACTACTACTACTACTACTACTACTACTACTAATAATAATAATAATAATAATAATAATAATAATAATAATAATAATAATAATAATAATAATAATAATAATAATAATAATAATAAATTATTCTAATAACCTCCAATAACAACCACAACAACAACAACAACCACCTCCAATAATTCTAAAAAACAACAACAACTTCCAACAACCACAATCTCCAACAACCACAACAACCACCCCTAACAACCACCCCTAACAACCACCCCTAACAACCACCACAACAACCACCCCTAACCACCACAACAACCTGTCCTTTAACAACCAAATGCTGAATAAAGCGAACTAAAATTTTCCTTCCTCCAAGAAGAGAATAAACTTTGGTGAAATGAAACAAAAAGAATTAATAGTGAAATGGGGTGGCTTTCGTGTGAGGGAGGAGGAGGAGGAGGGGGGGGTAGTGGAGGAGGAGGAGGAGGAGGAGGAGGAGGAGGATATAGTGGAGGAAGAGGGGGGGAGAAGGAAGATGAAGAAGAAGAAGAGTAGGAGTAAGGAAGAGGCAGTGTAGGAGTAACAATTGGTCCTGGCGATGGGTCTATCAGAGCGGGGAGGGAAGTATTCAACCATTGACGCGAAGCTTGGAATGAGATGTGCGATTTTCTGCCTCCTTTATTTTACTCCGTCGTTGTTGGAGGCGCATGAGGGAGAAGGGGGTGGGTTGAGGGAGGGAAGCAGGGTGGGTTGGTGGAAGGATAGGTGGAGGGAGGGAGAATAGGTGTATGGAGGGTAGGTAAGTGGATGGATATGTGGAAGGAAAGATGATGGTAGGGAGGGAGAGTAGGTGAAGGAAGGGAAGGAAGAAGTAGGTGGAAGGAGGATAGGTGGAGGGAGAGAAGGAAGGAGGGAGGGTAGATGGAAGGATGGAGGGGGAGGATGAGAGAATGGATAGATTGAAAGAGAGGGGGAAGGGAACTGCGATGGAGAGAAGGATAGAGGGAGGTAGGGAAGGAAGGAGAAAGGGAGGAATAGAAGGAAGGAGAAAGGGAGGGAGAAAGGGAGGGAATCTGTCCTCTTTATATTCATGTTCTCAGATCGTTGGCCAAAACACTGCTGAGGTTATGTTAATTTTTTTCATACTTTTTAAGAGAAGTCGTAATATTTTGAGGGATTTCTTAAGGGATTGTAGTTTTTAGGGATTTTCCAAGAGGTTGTTGTGAATTTTAAGGGGGATTTATTAAGGGATTTTAATCAAAGACAAAATTGATAACTGAGGAAGATCTTAAATGGAAATAAATGGTAAATGTTGTTACTTAATTCAAGGTAAAGCAGAAGGGGGAAAACATGGTAATGTCCAGTGAGATGGTCCTTCCTTCCTTCCTTCCTTCCTTCCTTCCTTCCTTCCTTCCTTCAATTCTTTCTTCCCTCCATTATTCCCTCCATCCTTTCCTCCTTCTTTCTCTCCCTTCTCCTCTTCTTCCCCCATTCCTTTCCTTATTCCTCCTTCCCTCACCTCTTTCATCTTTCTTCCTTCCCTCACCTCTTTCTTCTTTCCTTCCTCTACCGCCAGAATCCTTTATCATCCTCACCCATTCACCCTCCTACCCTCCCCATTCCTTCCTCCCTCCCTCCTTCCCTCCCTCCCTCCTCCTTCTCCCTCCCTCCCCCTCCCTCCCTCCCTCCCTCCTTCCCTCCTCACCACTAGATTCCTCCCTCCTCTGAGTACAGTTTATTGCCAGCCTCGACTATCACCAGCGCCACGGGGAACCTGGAGGCCAACACCACTGACACCTACTACGAGTTATGACAACATCTCCTACTCCTCCTACTCCCACTCCTACTCCTACTCCTACTCCTCCTCCTCACCCTTCTCCTAGTCCTCCTCCTACTCCTCCAGCAGGGCCTACTTCACCCTCTTCCTTGCGCAGACAGACCTGTTCTTCGTCGTCTCTCGCGCAGGTTGGTTAACTTCTTCCTTCCTCACTCGGGTAAGTACACACACACACACACACACACACACACACACACACACACACACACACACACACACACACACACACACACACACACACACACACACACAGTTTTGTTCCTCGACTGTGTGTTAAATAGATTTTAGAAAGGAATATGTGTGACTATTTATACTTTTTATCACATATTGATCACATTTTAGTTTACCTGATCTTATACCTTCTTGTTATTATACGTTGGTGTGACTCTTTACTCCATCACACGCAATAATGAGGGAGGGAGGGAAGGAGGGAGGGTGGGAGGGAGTGAGGGAGGCAGGAAGGGAGGGATGAAGGGAGGCAGTGAGGCAGGCCCTACTGTGGCCTCCTCCTTCCCTCTCTTCATCCACCCTCCCTCCTGGGACAAGGAGGGAGGAGGAAAGGAGGAATGGGAGGTGGAGTGCAGAGGAAGGAAGGATAAATGGAAGGAGTGAAGGGAGGGAGCGACGTGTTTCAGACATGATTGAACATTATAGGATAATAAAACACATCTAAACCATCCACAAAAGTAATAAACCTACTCCTACAAGAAGCCATTTATAAACCATCCAAAAACACCCCCCAAAAAAAAAATCACCATTTACACAAGAATAAAAACACATTATTGGTGATTTTCAATAAATTCCTACAACAAGAGACCATTTACACCTTAAAGACAATAGTAATCGACCTTGCATAAAGAAAATATCAAATTTAGGAATAAAACACACACACACACACACACACACAACATCTATATTAACACAACAGAAAAAAACGGAGGAAAAAAAAAACAGGAGTTACTTTCCAGGCAAGTTGTGTGAGCAGCAAAAATGAGTCAAAAAGGAGGTAGATTGAGGCACCACCAAAGAGGCACTACCAAAGAGGCACCACCAAAGAGGCACTACCAAAGAGGCACCACAAAGAGCACCACCAAAGAGGCACTACCAAAAGAGCACCAAAAGGCACGACAGAACAGGCACTACCAAAGAGGCACGACAAACAGGCACTACCAAGAGGCACACCAAGAGCTACCAAAGAGGCACTACAAAGAGCACAAAGAGGTACCACAAAAGGCACTACCAAGAGGCACCACAAGAGGCACACCAAGAGGCACACAAGAGGGCTACCAAGAGGCACCTGAGGGCACCAAGGGCACTACCAAAGGGCACCACCAGAGGCACCACCAAGAGGCACTGCAAGAGGGGCACCAAAGAGGCACCACCAAAGAGGCACTACCAGAGGCACCACCAGAGGCACCACCAAGGGCACACCAGAGGCACTACCAAGAGACAAAGGGCACACAAAGAGGCACGACGAAACAGGCACTACCAAGGGCGACGAAACAGGCACAAGCCAAAGGGCACCACCAGAGCACCACCAAAGAGGCACTACCAAAGAGGCACCACCAAAGAGGCACCACAAAGGGCTGCAAGGCACCACCAAGGGCCAAGAGGCACTACCAAAGGGCCAAGGCACCTAAAAGCACCACCAAGGGGGCTGCAAAAGAGGCACCACCAAAGAGGCACTAAGAGGCACCACCAAGAGGCACCCAAAGGGCACCACCAAAGGCACGAGGGCACCACCAAGGGGCTCCACCAAGAGGCGCACAAAGAGGCACCACAGAGGCACTACCAAGAGGCACCACCAAGAGAGGCACCACCAGAGGGGGCACCCTGAGGCACACCAAAGAGGCTGCAAGAGGCACCAAAGAGGCACGACCAAACAGGCACTACCAAAGAGGCACCACCAAGAGCTTTCCAAAGAGCACCACCAAAGAGGCACCACCAAGAGGCACACAAAGGCACCACCAGAGGCACGACAGAACAGGCACCACCAAAGAGGGCACCAAAGAGGCACCAGAGGCACCACCAAAGGCACCGCAGGGCGCACCAAGGGCTGCACCAAGAGGCACTACCAAGGGCACCACCAAGGGCACCTGAGGCACCACCAAGAGGCACGTGAAACAGGCACTACCAAGGAGGCACCGAGGCACCACCAGAGGCACCACCAAAGAGGCACCACAAAGAGGCACCAGCACCAAGGGCACAGGCACACAGAGCAGGCACTCCTGAGGCACCTGAGGGCACCAGAGAGGCACCACCAAGAGGCCGGCGCAAGGCACCGAAGAGGCACCTGAGGCACCACCAGGGGCACACCAGGGGCACTACCAAGAGCACCACAAGAGGCACCACCAAGGGCACCACAAAAAGACGACAAGCAGGCACTACCAAAGAGGCACCACAAGGGCTCCTGAGGCCTCCAAGGCACTACCAAAGAGGCACCACCAAGGAGGCACCACCAAGAGGCTAAGAGGCACACCAAAGAGGCACCACCAAAGAGGCACCAGGGCACCACCAAAGAACCACCAAAGAGGCACCACCAAAGAGGCACGACGAAACAGAGCTACCAGAGCACTACAAAGAGGCACCACCAAAGAGACCACAAGAGGCACCGCAAGGCACCACCAAAGAGGCAAGAGGCACGACAAAACAGGCACTACCAAAGAGGCACGACAGAAACAGGCACTACCAAAGAGGCACGACAAAACAGGCACCACCAAAGGCACCACCAAAGAGGCACCAGAGGCACCACCAAGGCACGACAAAAGGCACCACCAGAAGAGGCACACTGGACAGGCAGCAGGCACCTACCAAGAGGCACCAAGGGGCACTACCAAGAGAACCAAGGGCCTACCAGGGCCTCAAAGAGGCACCACCAAAGAGGCGACAGAAACAGGCACTACAAAGGCCACGAAACAGGCACTACAAAGCACTACCAAGAGGCACCACCAAGGGAGGCACCACCAAGAGGCACGACAGAAAGAGGCACCACCAAAGGCACAGAGGCACCACAAAGGCACCAAAGGGGCACCTGACCAAAGGAGGCACTACCAAAGCACCAGAGGCACCGAGGCACCAAAAGAGGCACCACAAAGAGGCACGACAAACAGGCACCACCAAGGCACCAAGAAGCACCAAAGGGCACCACAAGAGGCACTACAGGGCACCACCAAGGGCACCAAGGGGCACCACCAAGAGGCACGACAAACAGGCACCGAGGCTACTGAGGCACCACCAAGAGGCACCACCAAGAGCTGCCACAAGGGCACCACCAAAGGCACCGCAAAGGGCACGACAGAGACAGGCACCACCAAGAGGCACTACCAAAGAGGCACCACCAAAGAGGCACTACAAGAGGCACCACCAAGGGCACACTACCAAGGAGGCACTACCAAAGAGGCACTACCAAGGAGGCACGACCAAGAACGGGCACTACCAAGAGGCACGACAGAAACAGGCACTACCAAGGCACTACCAAGAGGCACCTGACCACCAAAGAGGCACACCAAAGAGGCACGACAGAAACAGGCACCACCAAAGAGGCACTCAAGCACCAAAGAGGCACCACCAAGGGGCACCACCAAGGCACCACAAGAGGCACCACCAGAGGCACTACCAAAGGAAGCTACCAAAGAGCGCCTAAGAGGCACCACCAGGGGCTCAAGGAGGCACGACCAAAGAGAGCACACCAAGAGGCACCTGAAACACAAAGAGGCACCACCAAAGAGAGGCACTACAAGAGGCACTACCAAGGGCACCACCAAGAGGCACCACCAAGAGGCACGACAGAAACAGGCACCACAAAGAGGCACCACCAGAGAGCACCACCAAAGAGCACCACCAAAGGCACTACCGAGGCACCACCAAGGGCACACCACCAAGAGGCACCACCAAGGCGACAAACAGGCACCACCAAGAGGCACTACCAAGAGGCACCACCAAGGCACCACCAAGAGGCACCACCAAAGAGGCACACCACAAGAGGCACCACCAGAGGCACTACCAGAGGCACTACCAAAGCCACCAAAGAGGCACCAAAGAGGCACCACCAAGAGGCACGACAGAGCAGGCACCCCAAAGAGGCACCACCAAGGGGCACCAAGAGGCACCACCAAAGAGCCACTATGAGGGCACTACCAAAGGCACCACCAAGAGGCACACCAAAGAGGCAGACAGAAACAGGCACTACCAAGAGGCCTGACAGAAACAGGCACTACCAGAGGCACCACAAGAGGCACCAGGACGCAAGGGCACCGACCAAAGGGCACCAAAGAGGCACCACCAAGAGGCACCACCAAGAGGCACTAAAAGGGCACCACAAGAGGCACCACCAAAGGGCACTGAAGGCACCTGAGGCACCACCAAAGAGGCACTACCAAAGAGGCACCTGAGGCACCCCAAAGAGGCACCAAAGAGCACGGGGCACCACAGAGGCACTACCAAGGAGCGCAGACCAAAGAGGCACTACCAAAGAGGCACCTAGCAAAGGAAACCACAGGGCACTGAGGGCGCAGGGCACCACCAGAGGCACCACCAAGAGGCACCTGAGGCACCACCAAAGGGCACCACAAAGCAAGGCACTACCAAAGAGGCACCACCAAAGAGGCACTACCAGAGGCACCTGAGGCACCACAAAGAGGCACCACCAGAACAAGGGACACAGAGGCACCACCAAAGACACCACCAAAGAGCACGACAAACAAACTACCAAAGAGCACGACAAACAGGCACTCACCAAAGGCACTACAGAGGCCGAGGCACCACCAAGAGGCACCACCAAGAGCACCACCAAAGGCACCACCAAAGAGGGCACCACCAAGGCACTACCAAGAGGCACCACAAGAGGCACCACCAAGAGGCACCACCAAGGGGGCACTGCAGGCACCACAAAGCACCACCAAAGAGCACCACCAAGGGCACTACCAAGAGGCACCAAAGCACCAAGAGGCACTACAAGCACCGAGGCACCACAAGAGGCACCACAAGAGAGGCACTACCAAGGGCACCACCAAGGAAGGCACCACCAAGAGGCACTACCAAGCAAGCACAGGCACCACCAAAGAGGCACCACCAAAGAGGCACCACCAAGGGCACTACCAAGGGCGCACCACAAGAGGCACCACCAAGGGCACCACCAAGAGCACTACCCAGCCCACAGTCATTCCAAACCTATCAAAGTGGCAGCCAACTTGAGGGACAGGGAGAGAGAGAGGCAATACTGTGATCTATCATACCAACGGGATATATATGAATGCTGTGACGTTTTCCTGATGCTGTGTCTGTCTGTCTGTCTGTCTGTCTGTCTGTCTGTCTACATCTCTCTCTCAGTTTGTTTGTCTCTCTCTCACTGTCTATCTGTTTTCTGTATACGTCTGTCTGTCTGTCTGTCTGTCTGTGTGTCTGTCTGTCTGTTTTATGTATACAATATGGATGAACTATTTGTGTATTCTACTTATTTTGTTAACCTGTGTCCTTGTTAACCTAAGTACTTGTTTACCTGTGTCCTTGTTTGCGTGTCATTGTCTACCTGTCCTTGTTAACTTATGTTATTAATTTATTTAGTCTGTTTTTTTATTTACGCTTTTATTTGTTTATTTTGTTTTATTTTATTGGTGATCTTGTTATATTTACGTTCATGGATATAGTTTATAACCATCCGTGTGTGTGTGTTGTGTGTGTGTGTGTGTGTGTGTGTGTGTGTGTGGGTGTGTGTGTGTGTGTGGTGTGTGTGTGTGTCGGGTGTGTGTGTGTGTGTTGTGTGTGTGTGTGTGTGTGTGTGTGTGTGTGTGTGTACTTGCAGTGAGGAAGGAAGAAGTTAACCAACCTGCGCGAGGCGACGAAAAACAGGTCTGTCTGCGGGAAGAAGTAGTAGGCCCTGCTGGAGGTAGGAGGAGGACTAGGAGAAGGGTGAGGAGGAGGAGTAGGAGTAGGAGTGGGAGTGGGAGGAGTAGGAGATGTTGTCATAACTCGTAGTAGGTGTCAGTGGTGTGGCCTCAGGTTCCCCGTGGCGCTGGTGATAGTCAGGCTGGCAATAACTGTACTCAGAGGAGGAGGAATCTAGTGGTGAGGAGGGAAGGAGGGAGGGAGGGAGGAGGATGGTAGGTGGAACGAAAGGATGGATGGAGTGAGGGTGGATGGGTGGATAGAAGAAAAGGATAAAGAAAGAAACAGGTGGGAATGGAATGAAGGAAGGAAGTAAGTGAGGAAGGAAGGTATATCTTGTAGTTTTTTTTGGGGGGAGGAGGTTGAGAAATTTATTTAACCTAAAACCTCAACATTCTGATATAATTTTTCAACATACATAATCTCCTCCACCTCCTCTTCTACCCCCCACCACCCTCTCCCCCTCCACCGCCCCTCCCCTCACCACCTCCTACCACCACCACTGAATTCCTGGTTGACGCTCACTCGTTCTGGTTGCCATCATGTCCTCGATGCCCACCAACTTTTTCTGGTTAAAATTGCATCAGGAACAAGTTAAAGATGCATTGAAGTTTTGGAGTTAAAGTTGAAGCTGAATGGAGTTGTGGTTCCTTTAAGAAGTAGTATGGGGGTAGTAGGGGTGGACGGTGGGGTGGGGAGGGGAGGAGTAAAGGGGAGAAGGGAGGAGGAGAGAGTGAGGCAATATGATTCTATGATAAGGTTCTCTGCCATAAGAACCCATAGGAATCCACAGGTAATAGTCATATAGGAACCGTCTCTCTCAAAGGCATATATCTTATAAAAAAAAAAAAATTCCCGATAAGAATGAAGACAAAATATAAAGCAAATATAAATTACTTTAAAAACCACCAAATTCTTCAAATACGAATAAGAAATGAGTTTAACACCTGCATCTCATTTGAATATACACATGGACACCCCGTTATCATATAGGGCTAGAAACTAACACAAATACACGATCCCATTTATTATTCTCACGTTTTTTGGTGTGATAAATAAACCACAACACGACCCGGGGAAAGCACTAAGTCAGAGAGGTAAGGAGTGTGGGTATAAGACGTTCCAGGGAGGGAAATACTTGCTGGGAAAGGGAGTTTGATGGAAGGGTGATGGAACGGTGGACGATCATTGGGTAGTAGAAAGTTGACTTGTGTTTGGAGGGTGAGTGAGGTGGGGTGTGGGGGGGGGTGGGGTTGATGAAGGAGTGAGGAGGTGGGGTGGAGGGTTGATGAGGTGAGAGGGTGGGGTGGGGGTGAGAGTGGGGTGGGGGGGGTTGAGGTGGGGTGGAGGGTTGATGAGGTGAGGAGGTGGTAGAATTGGAGGGTTGATGAGGTGAGGAGGTGGGGTGGGCGGTTGTTGATGAGGTGAGGAGGTGGGAATTGGGGGTTAATGAGGGTGGAGTAGGTGTTTGGAGTTGAGAGAGTGGGGTTATTGAGTGAGTGAAAAGCGAGAATGGTGGGGGAAGGAAGGGAAGGGGGAGGGAGGGAGGAGGGAGGGAGGAATGTGGGGGGGAGGGAGGAGGAGTCTTGTCAGTGGTTTGGGTGAAAGGATTATGCTGAAGAAGAACTCAGAGAGAGAGAAATGGTGTCTGGGAGGAACCTGCGGGAAGGAAGAAAAACAAGGATAATTATAAGAAAAAGGAGGGATAAGAGAGATATTAAGAAGGAACCTGAAAGATGTCAATGGAAGAGCAGGCGTCTGGAAGGAAGGAAGAAAGAAAAGGAGGAGGAGGAGGAGGAGGAGGAGGAGGAGGAGGAAGAGGTCTGGCGGTGTTCCAGCTTCCAGAGACTCGGGGCTAACTGGTGGGCGTGGCTGAGGGTGTGGAGAAGGGAGACGCCGCCGCCGCCGCTTCCAGGAGTCGCGTCAGCTGCTTGGTCTTTTGGTCACTCCTGCTGGGGCTGGTGGTGGTAGTGGTAGTGCGGGTGAGTGGTGGTAGTAGTGGTGGTAGTGGTGGTATGTGGTAGTAGTGGTGGGAGTGGTGGTGGGTGGTGGTAGTGCGGGTGGGTGGTGGTGAGTGGTGGTGGTGAGTGGTAGTGGTGGTAGTGGTTGTCTTGCTTCTTCTCTCTCTCTCTCTCTCTCTCTCTCTCTCTCTCTCTCTCTCTCTCTCTTTCGTTTACCTGTACTAATTATCATGTTACTCTTCTTCCTCTCTTTACCTGCCACATTATCTCTTCTCTTCTCTTCTCTTTACAAATAATTAATCCCAGTTCCACATTAAATCCACCATATACATAGGTATTTTAAGTATACATAGATATACATAAATTCTCACTAATGATATGAATTATACATAGGTATTTTAAGTATACATAGATATACATAAATTCTCACTAATGATATGAATTATACAGATCTTGGTTTGACACTGTGATGGTAGTTAGAGGTGGTTTTAACTACTTAATGATCAGGTAGTTAAGAGATAGTTAAAATTTGTGAAAGAAAAACACGATTATTTATTCAATGTGTTTTTAGTCTGTGTTTTTATTGTCTTGTTTGTTTGTTTGTTTGTTTGTTTGTTTGTTTGTTTGTTTGTTGTTGTTGTGGTGGTGTAAGAATAGTTATTGTCTTTGCTTCACACACACACACACACACACACACACACACACACACACACACACTAACACACACCCCTACTCCCCATACATACTCACGCCCACCTACACAGCCCACATCCACTTACTCTCACCTACGCCCACCATGATGAATCTGTCAGTCATACAGAAAGAGTTATTCAGTCAACAAGCCCTTAAAGACAAAGCTCTTAGAGTCCTTCCTCCTCCTCCTCCTCCCCCTCCCTCCCCTCCCCTCCCCTCCCCTTCTTCCTCCCCCCTTCATCCTCCTCCCTCCCCTTCACATCCCTCCTCCTCCTCTTCCTTCCTCCTCCTTTTCCTCCAAAACAAAACAGTGTAGCCAGCCAGTCAGTCAGTCAGTCAGTCAGTCAGTCAGCAAGTCAACCAGCCATTCAGTCACTCAGTCAGCCAGCCAGTAAACCAGTCAGTCAGTTCAGAGAGCCAGCCACATTTGTCATCCCAGAGGTCACAGAATCAGCCAACTGCGTCAGCCAAAGAGTCAGACTGTCAGCTAAAGAGTCAGTTATTCCTCTCAGCTAGTAAGTCAGCCAGTCAGTCAGTCAACTAAGTTACTCATACAATTTCAATTTTAGTCAACACACACACACACACACACACACACACACACACACACACACACACACACACACACACACACACACACACACACACTCTACTAACTTTATGTTGTATCAGGTAATTTATTTTTATTTTTTTTTATTTTTTTTTCCACAACAATTCACAATATTATTTTACCAATTTTTCTGACATGTTGAAATTTTTTATTACTATTTATCCTTTTGTTGTTGTTGTAGTTGTTGCTGTTGTTGTTGTTGTAGTTGTTGTTGTTGTTGTTGTTGTTGTTGTTAGTGACCTGT